ATTTAATTAATATATATATATAAATATGTATATATATATATATAAACATATATTTTTATTGTTATAAATTTAAATATATGTTATTATAATTTCTTTAATTAATAATAAAATTAACATATTATTATTTTTAAACAAAACAATATTATTATTTATTTATATTTGTTTGAAAATTTTATTTCAAAAAAATAAAAACAAGCTAATTTTAAAAAAATAAAAACCTTAAATAAAATAAAATGGGAGTTTGTATGTGCAATAATTGTCCTAACAAAGATCCATCTGATTTCAAATTTTTAGAATATAATGAAATGACCTTATAATTAGATGATGAAGGAAATATAAAATAATTAAATAATGGTAAAAAAAATATAAAAATTGTCATAAATAACTATATATAAAGATAGTATTAAATTATAATAATTAGCATAATCATCAACAAATAAAGATTTATTAGAAGATTCAAATATTAAAGCAGGGGTAAATAATATATAATAAATTAAAAAGTATTAAAATATAGCAAAACAAATATAAAGGAATAGTAGGACGATAAACGTAAAAAAAGAGGTAAAAATAAAGTTTAGGCTGTAAGAGATAATTTTGATAAAGAACTTTAAATATTCGAAAACGTTAAAAAAATCGAAATGCATATGACAAAAGAAGAAATTAATTAAAATATTAAATTTCTTAGTAATCATTTTGTATTTGCATTATTATCAAATCCAGATAAGTAAAAACTTTTCCTTTTAATTACAATTTTTTAATGTAAAATAACACAAAATAAAAGAGAAGAAATCGTCAAAAAAATGTTTTATTGTCAAAATACATCTGAATATGTATTTAAATAAGGAGATTAAGCTTCATCATATTTTATTATAGGTAAAAAATTTAATAAATATATATATATACATTATATATATACACATTATATATATATAGATAAAGGATAATGTTAAATTATAATAAATAATGACGCAAAAAAAACATTAAAATAAGGAGATTGTTTTGGAGAATTAGCATTATTATACGGAGCTCCCCGTTCTGCTTCTGTAAAAACAATTGGTAAATGTTCATTTTGGGCTATAGACAGAAATACATTTAAGAAAGCAATAGCAGATGTTGTATAGAAAGAATATTAAGAGAATAGGGCATTTATAGATAAAATTACATTTTTTGGTAAAACACTTTTTTTTTTTTGTATAAGCAAATATACACACACTAAAAAAAAAAAAAGATAAAATGACTTCTGAATAAAAAGATGCTATAGCAAATGTACTGATTACCTAAGTTTTTAAAAAGGGAGATATTATAGTAAATGATGGTGATATGGCTAGTTCTTACTATATTATTAAAAAGGATTAGTTGGAATTTATAAAAATGATAAAGAAATTAGACTGCTTAAAGCTGGTGATACATTCGGTGAATAAGCACTTTATGAAAATCAAAACAGATCAGCGACTGTTAAAGCTGTGGAAGATAATTCTAGATTAATTGCTTTGGGAAGAGATATGATTTAGGCAGCTTTAGGTGATAAAGTAGAGGTTATTATACATAATAATTCTATTAAATGGGCATTTGATAATGATGAGTATTTAAAATTTTTAACTGGTGTTTAAAAAGAGAAAATTATAAGTAATTTAAAAAAAGTAAAGTATGAAAACAGTTAACTTTACATAAGAAAAAATAAACCTGTAGATAAGATTGTTTTTGTTTTAAAAGGAGAAATAGCATATGTATTTTTTTGTTTAACTAAAAAAATTATTTATTAAAGGAAAACTCTGAAATAGTGGCAAAAAAAGAAAATTCGTTCGGATCTAAATGGTTATTTATTAAAAATAAAGACGAAAAGTATTTATAGATAAACAAATATTTAAAATATATATAAACAAAAAAAGAGTTCCGAAAAATGTTATATTTACAGAAGATAGTCATATTGCCGAAATTTCCTTTTCTAAATTTTTCGAATGTTTAGGTGGAGGTACATTTGAATAAATAATCGAAAAAAATAAACAATCTTATGAGGTTAAATATATGGTTAAAAATGATACTGGAGAATAAAAAAACAATATGAAAATCTTAAATTAGAGGAAATGATTTCAATTAAAAAACTAGGTTTTAAATTATTATTAATACAATATATATATATATTTATTTTCAAAACAAAATAGGCTTCGGTTAATTTGGTAGTGTTTATTTAGTAAAATCAAGATAAGATAGTAATAAATATGCCCTAAAAATAATATAAAAGCAATAAATAATAGAATAATAACTCGAAAAACACTTACTTTAGGAAAAAAAGTATTAGAAACTGCCTAATTTCCATTCATAATGTAATTTATAAGAACCTTTAAAGATAATAATAATATATATTTTCTCATCGAATATATTTAAGGACTAGAATTATTTGATGTAATAAGAGAACTAGGTCTATTAACTGTATAGGATTCTTAATTTTACATTGGCTCTTTATTATTATGTGTTGAATATTTACATACAAATTCTATTATATATAGAGATATAAAACCCGAAAATATTATGATAGATCATAAAGTGAAATTTATTTTTTTATTCAAAATAAACAAAAATTAAAAAGGGTTATATGAAACTAATCGATATGGGTACTGCTAAATTTCTTAAAGGAAAAGGAGGAAAAACATTCACTATTATAGGAACTCCTCATTATATGGCTCCTGAGATTATTACAGGAAAAGGATATTCTTATAATGTTGATTTATGGTCTATTGGAATTTGCCTTTATGAATTCATGTGTGGGGAAGTACCTTTTGCGGAAGATGCGGAGGATCCTTATGAAATTTATGAAGAAATTATTAAAAAACCTATTTCTTATCCAGGATCTTTTAAAGATAAACCTACAAAAAATATAATTAGTTAATTACTTAATAAAACACCAGAATTAAGATTAGGAGGTTCTTATTCAGCTTTAAAAGCGAATATTTGGTTTGATAAATTTGATTTTGTAAACAATTTTTTGTTTTGTTTTGTTTTATTTTTAAATAAAGGATAAATTAATGGAAAGATAATTAAAATCGCCATATGTACCTCCGGCTAATAAATTAATTTCTGATGAAGAATTTAATAAATAAGAAGCATTAAATAATACTTTGATTAATGAACTTAAAAAATAAAATTTATTAAAATATAAAAAGGAAAAAGCAGTGGATCCTAATTGGGATAATGATTTTTGAATATATAAATGATTAATTTTGTTGATTTAAAATATTGTATTATTTTATTTTTTGTTAAATATATATTTATATATATTAATTTTATTTTATTTTTTGTTTTTTTTATTAAATAATTTTTTTTTTTTTTTTTTCTGTTTTTTTTTTTAATTTTTGGTTTTTGCTTTTTTTTATTTTTAATTTTTTTTTTTTTTATTGTTTAGTTTAATTTTTTTTAAATTTTTCTTTTTATTTTTTTCTTTTTTAATTTTTTTATTTTTTTGGATTTTTTTTTCTTTTTTTATTTTATTTCTTTTATTTATTTAATAAAATAAAAATAAAATTTTATTTAAATAAAAAAAATTATACTCAAAATAAAATATATATATATTATTATTATATATATAAATATCTATGTAAAAATCAATTTAAGAGGTTTGAATCTATTTATAGATAATAAAACTATTTCCTATTAATAATATCTTTTAGAAAATTATAACTTATATCTTTAATTAAAGCCTCTTTTTTTTTAAAAAAAACTATTATTTAATATAATTGTTTTCTATACATGATGCATTAATAATAAATTATAGATTAAGCCCCTTATTTATATAGATACAATATAAAATTATCTCTAAAACAAAACAAAAAAGAATATTACAACTGAAATGAATTTATATAAGTTAACATAAAGTAAACTTATAAACTTATTTTTAAAATAAATATAACCAATAAAAAAGAATTTCCTCTAATATATTAATATGAAAGAATAGATAATTAAAAAAAAAAAAGAGAGGAATAATATCAATCTATATTAAAATTAATATAGAAATCTTGAAAAGTAATATATATTTTTATCTCATAATAATTAATAAAAAAATATCCCTTTTTTAAATTATTTTTTAGTTTTTCTTTTTTTATTTCTGTTAAAAATTAAAGTCTCTTATCCAATATTTTTTTGAAAACACATATATTCAAAAAAAAAAAAAAAATATCATATTTAAATTTAAACTTATTTGATTGAAACTCAAGTACCTTTGCTTAGGTTGTTGTAGAGTTTATTTCATATTGTATTTAAATTAATAGACATTACATTATAATTCTTTCTAAACTACTAAAAGAATTCAAATATATGGTATTTAAAATGAATGTTTATATGAAAAAGGTATATATTATTATAATTTATAAGAAAAAAAATATATATATATATTTATTTAGACATAAATAACAATAATAATTCATTTTAAATTTAAAAATGCAAATTTTTTCATTTAAAAGTTTAAAAATAATTATTTTTATATTCTATTTATATTTAGTATATAATTAAATTTTATCAGAAAAAAAAAAAAAAAAAAATAATAAAAAAAAAAATTATAATAATAAAATAAAGAACATTCATTTTTTAAATAAATATATATTTTATATTAAATATAATTAAATAAAAAATATTTCTTTAACAAAAAAAATAAACAAAAAAAAAAGTTCAACTAACCCAAAAAAAAAATAAAACAAAAACAATAAAAAATCCTTTTTAAAAATAAAATTAAACTATTCATGTAACCTCGTGAAGAAGAATATAATATAATACCTTTCTGCCCTATACTTCACCCAACTATGGAGGAATTTAGCAATTTCTAAAACTATATAGAATAAGTAGAAAATAAATATTCAAAAGACCATGGAATGGTTAAGGTAATAGAAATAAAAAAACAAAAAAACTTAAATTATCATTATTATATAATATAAATATATTATTATCTCATTTATCTTTATTATATTTTTATTTTAAATCATTTTTCTTTGAAATATATCATCTTTTGAATAAATAAATTAAAAAATAGGTTGTTCCTCCTAAGTAATGGAAAGCTAGATAATAAGATTATGCTTAGTCTTTAGAAGATAAAATGATAAGCGACCCTATAGAATAAAATCCTTAAGGAAAAGGAGGTAAATAAAATGTTTATATATTATAATATTTTATATATAATAAATATTAAAATAATAAAATAAATATAATATATAATATAATTAAAAATTAATTTTAAAAATTTTTTATTAATTAATTTTAATATATATATAATTAATATTATAAAATATAATAGGTATATATGAATGTGTCCATATAATGAGAAAGTCAATTCCTATACGAGAATATAGAAAAAAAGCAATTATATTTAATCATTTTACAGAAGGAAAATCCATTGAGACAGTTGAAAATTTAGTAAAATAAAATAAAAATAAAATATAAAAATTAATAAAAAAGTTTTGGAAAAACATATCATTTAGTCCACCCTTATATGGATCAGATATTCAAATGTCGATTTTTGATGACGGAGTTTTATGGAATTTAAGAAATTTAGATTCAATCTTAGCGTAAATAAATAGTTTAAAAAATTTATGATAATATATATATATATATATATATATATATATATATATATATATATATATATATATCATATATATATGATATATATATCATATATATATCATATATATATTCATTTATATATCATATATAATTTATTAATATTAAATATTATTTATTAATATTAGAAAAGGATTAAATAAAACATTATAAGGCGTTAATACTCCATATGTCTATATTGGATGCTGGAAAACTATGTTTGCTTGGCACAAGGAAGATTTAGATTTAGGGGCAATAAATTACTTACATTATGGAAAACCAAAGTATAAATAAAAAATATGATTTTTATAAAAAAAAATAAAAAGATTTTGGTATTGTGCTCCTAGAGATGATGGATAATAACTAGAAGATATCGCTAAAAGTATTTTCTCTGAAAATTATAATAAATGTCATTAATTTTTAAGACATAAAACTAGTGTTATAAATCCTTATTAACTAGTAAAAAAATCTAATCTAAAAATTAGACTTACTAAAATGGCCTAAAAAGAAGGAGAATTTATTCTTGTATTTGGAGGGGCTTACCATTCTGGTTTTAATTGGGGTTATAATATTGCTGAAGCAGTAAATTATGGATCTTTTAATTGGTTAAATATATTCCCTTTGTATTAATAATGTAATTGTAATTCTGATAATGTAAGGCTTAACCCTAAAGAGTTTATTTAAACTTTACTTAAAAACAGTCCTGATTTAAAAAACGTAAATGCAATTAAAAGATTTAAATAATGGGCTATATCATAAGATGAAGAAGAAAAATTTATGTTTTCAAGCGATAATGAGTATTAAGATATGAATCATAATAAAAATAAAAATAGAAACAAAAATATAAAGACTAGAAGTAATAAAAAATTAAAAATGAAATCGAATAAAACAACAGGAGTAAAAAAAATGATACATAAAGTCTGAGAAAAATTAAATTAAAAAATTATATATAAATTTAAAAATATATAAATATATATAGATATAATAATTGTATTTTGTTATAAAATAACTTTTAATATTATATATTAATTATTTTATTTTAATTAATTATTAAAAAAAATATTTGAATAATAATATTAATTTTATTTATATATATATATTTTTTATTTTATTTTATGTTTTTTTTTTTTCAAAAACAATCTTTAAAATTATTTTTAACATAAATAAAAGTACTTTCTTTTCATAAAATTTTATTTTAAATCAAAAAAGAATGAAATAATAATCAAATAAATAAATGATTATGAATTAAATAATCTAAAATTATAAATTTTCTATTTTCTATACTTTTTATTTGATATATTAATTCGCCGATTTTAATAATTAATGCATAAATACTGAACAAAGAAACAAAATAAAAATAATATTTCGATACTTTTTAATAATTTTGACAATAATAATTTAATTTTTCCTTGATAAATAATAAATAAGCTAAAAAAAATCTATATTCTTCATAAACATAATATTTATGGTAATAATAACTGAAACTTATTAAAAATTATAATTTTTTTAAATAATCTTTATTTATATGAATATATTTGTTCGCTTTTTTTACAATATAAAACTATAAAGTATCAATTTAATACTTATAGATTGTACACTAAGTAGCATTTATATATATTTCAGAAGTATGGACTTATTTTTATAGTAAAATATAGAATTATTTAAATAATAGATATCTACACAAGAAATCTTAATAAACACTATTTCATTTTACATATTAATCCTGTTATTTTTATACACATCATATTTATTATTTGAAGATAAACCTAAAAGAATAAAGAAATACTAGAATTCTTAATTAACTGGAAATTAAATTAACAAAAATTAAGCGTCATCTGATTTAAATACAATAAGACCTTGTTTTATAGATGAAGAAGTACAATTATAGACAAATAATAATGATAAAAAAGGCATAACAACAACAGTAAATAAAAACAATTAAATAATTCTAAACCTTGAAACCAATGACTCAAACACAAAAAAAAAAATCATAAATAATATTTAATAAAGCCAAATAATATAATCATAATTAGGAGAACAGAAATTCATTATTAACGAAAAACTTTCCAAAATAATCATTAATTGTTTTCCTGAAGGAGTAGCTTTTATTGATAAAGGACTAAATGTCCTTTATGCTAATAATTAAATTTTAAATCTATTTTCCTGTTGTGAAAAAGAATAACTAACGGATCATTTATTTACTTTACCGAACATATTCAAATAATATAACAAATAATAATAATAATATATATAAAAGGGATAATCCCGTAGCACAAACAACAATAATAATATTAAAAATATGAATATATCCTGTCCATTAAAATAAATATAGAAAAAAACAAGCATTTTAATAAACTAAGGTTAAGAGAAATTCTAATTTTCTCCATAAAAAAAAATTAGTTAAAAAAATTTTATTTTCAAAATAATTGAAAAATAACTCTAAGAAAATATGCAATTCGAAAGTGAGTATTCAATAAGTGACAGTCTAAAAGGAGAAATAGAAAGTCTTTTTTAAAATGCGGAAAAATATTTAAATTAAGTAAAAGATTAAGAAGATTGTATTATGAATAAACATTACTATTTTTCATCCGAAATTAAAAAAATAATAATAAAAATTAAAAATCTTCCTATATATTTAATAATATAAATAATTTTTCAAAAGAAGAAATAGAATTCATTAAATAATAATAAACTATTTCTATAGATATTACACTCTATGTATATATCATTGCATTAAAACCTGTCATTTTAATCATTGTTAGAGATGTCACTTTTAAATCATATATCAAATTGCTAAAATGAATAAGTGAAAAGAAGTCTAAAATGGTCTCTTTTGCATCCCATGAATTAAGAACTCCCCTAAATAGTATTATTGCAATGCTTGAAACTATGATTAATAATCCCAACAAAAATTACTTGAAAAACGCTATACTTAATGCCAAATATTTACTTTGTATGACTAATGATCTACTTGATTTGGCATAAATTAAAGTCAATAAATTTAAGCTTAATATTAAAAAGTTCAATTTGAAATATTTACTAGTCGAAATTCTTGAAATGTTCTAGATTTAAGCCTTCGAATAGTAAATTAACCTCAATATGAATTATGATTGTGAAGAAGAAATACATTCCGATAAAAATCGTATCAGGCAAATTCTTATAAATCTTCTAGGAAATTCTTTTAAATTCACTCTAAATGGGAAAATATGTGTCAATGTAGAAAAATACGATGAATTTCTTATCCAAATATCAGTTGAAGATACTGGTATAGGTATAAAATAAGAAAATTTAAGTAAGCTTTTTACTGTTTTTGGAAAAATAGATGGAGAAGAAGCCATTAATTTAAATTAATAAGGAGTTGGTTTAGGTTTAGTAATATCTAATATGATAGCTTATTAATTAGGAGATAATAATGTATAAATAAATATATTTATATATCTATATATTATTTTTTATATTAATATTTTTAACAAATATATAAAATAGAATTAAAAAGGTATTGAAGTAGAAAGTGAGTATGGATATGGAAGTATTTTTAAATTTAAAATCTATATACATAAGGATGAAGCTAATATTATTTCTAATTCTTAATAATTATATTAATAAGCTTTATTTTAAGATAATGATGATATTTTAGAAGAATAATAAAATGAAAATTTGGTCGAAAAATTATCAAAATATAACAAAATTTTATACAAAAACAAACTTAATAATGATATAAATCTTATAAACATATTCCAAACAAAAAATAAAAGTTTTTAAAAATTAGTTTTGTATAGAAGATAAAGTACTCCAACAAATTATTATAAATAAAAAAAAATTACTAATAATCAATTTCATTAAATAATATAAAAATAGATAAAACCATAGTTTAGTAAAATAAAATAGTCAATAAATAAATTAAAGAAAATATAAATTTCTCTAAAATATTAATTGTGGATGATAATATTAGTAATATTATTGCACTTAAATGTCTATTGAATATAATAAACCCTAAAATAATATGCGATTATTCTATTAGAGGACAAGGGGCTGAAAGATTAGTTAAAGAAATGTTCTAATAAAATAAAATATATAGACTTATTTTTATGGATATATGTATGCCAGAATAAAATGGTATTCAAACTGCAGAAAATATAATGTAATTTTTAATTTAAAATAAAATACTGAAAACTGTTATTATAGCATGTAGTGGATATGATGATGATACAGAAAAATAGAAATGCTTTAATGTTGGTATGAAGGAATATATAGTTAAACCATTGTTTAAATAAAAGCTATAAAATATTATTAATAATTATTTTTGAAATTTTTTTGTTTTAAATGTTAATATTAAAAAATTAAATTTTTGCTTTTTTTATATAATAAAAACCAGATATATTATAAAATGCGAAAATAATATATATTATATTATGTTTATTATTATTATTTTTCTTTTTTCATTTATAGATTTGTATTAAAAATTAATATAGAAAATAATTATATAATTAAAAAAAAATTAAAAATCTAAAAAAAGATACTTTAAAAAATACTTTCTTTTATATAAACATTTTATATATTAAGATAAAATAATAAAAAAAGAAATTAATAAAGTAATTAATTAACATATATATATTTAAAAAATAAATAAAAGAATAAATTAAATTATAATAATATAATAAATAAAAAAATATATAATTTTAATATTTTAAGAAAAAAAAAATTATAAATTAAATACTTATATATTATAATATAAATAAAAAATATATATATAATTATTTATAAATAATATTAAGTATATTAAAAAATATTTTTAATAATTTATTAATCTATTCTTTTTTTTTCTTCTATTATTAAAATAATAAGTAATTATATGAATAGATTTTAATTTATCAAAATATAAAAAATTATATAAAATATATTTATAAA